CAATGTACAACCACGCATGTACGTAAAATGTACATTCATCGTACTTATAAAGATGGATGTTCAATGTATGTTTCAAAATTACCGTCCGTTGGACATCCATTTTATGTCAACTCAAGGACGTAAACTCTCGTGGACGTTTGATCAACATCCATTGTACGTACAGAGACGGACCTACATTGGATGATTCAAATCAAACTCACATTGGATGTCCATTCAACGGCCATGCTGAGTTCAAGCGTTAATGGATGGAGAATGAACATTATATTTATATGTATATAAATAATCGTTCAAAGTAAATGTCTGTATGAGATCATTTTGAATCTGGAGGTTCATGGACGTTGAATGAACGTACATTGTACGTTCAGAGATGGACGTAAGACTATTGATTTTTCAGCCACCTCGAGGGGAGGCACAAGGTCAGATCGGTCGGTAGAGTAGCGGTAGCGTCTGGCGTGATTCTGATGCCATTTTCAGTTGTTAAATGACCGTGAACATGAAGTGTTGTGTTTGTGATGAATTGTGGAATGCAGAATATTCAGGACCAGATCATTCAAAGTAGGTATGAAAGCATGCATGTTCGAATGTGACTTCATATATTATCTAATATAGATATAATCTTATGCTTTATCATTCTACAGGTTGTTATTCATTTTCAATGGGCGGTTTGATAGAAAAAGTACCTGAGTATATATATAGAAATAATGTGAATAAGGCTTCATTCACCAGTCAGAGTTGAGCTGAACAGGATTTGGGGTATAGACAATGGATTTCTACCTATATAGCAACATATAATATTTCTCTTTTACTACAGGAACAAGAATTTGAAATGGACTGAAGAAGACATGAATCAACAATATATATGCAATCGAAACCAAATATATATCTCAATAGAAAAAGCTATATTTGATACCTACTGATTTTTCATCATTTGATTTCCAAAGATGAGCATCCATTATACACCCACATGTAAACATCCAATGTACGTCCGAAGTGGTGTCCTCAAGACATCCAATGGACTTCCATCGAACGTTTAACCTCCAATTTGGTACGACCAATGGATGCTCAGACATGTACATCCATTGTGAGTCCAAATATGAACATCCACTGTACATCCACATGAATACATCCACAGTACGTCCAAAGTGGTGTCATCAGGACATCCAGTGGACGTCCATAGGATGTTAAACGTCCACTCGAGTACTTTCATTGGACGTCCTTACGATTCGACGTGGTCGTACATTTTACGTACATTGGACATACATGTGCTGTGTGGGACTATACAAAGAATTTAAAAAATATATATTCATTTTTTCAAAACATAGTTCACCCACATGTGAATAAAAATATCACAAAAATAAAGGCAACATCACGGAAAAAATCATCTGATTAGTACAGGCACAACCAAATACTGCATGATTCTATACTAACCATCATTTTATGGTAAGCTCAGCTTAGCTTACTGAAGGAAACATATTTCGTGAGAATAAATCACATAAAATTCAAATTATCTTCATATTTTAAAAATGTATATACGCGTACTTACCTATTGAATAAATTTAGCAATATGCATCCCAGTAAACACAACACGTTTCTGAAACATTGCAAAAGTTTCCTAATACGTGTCATCTGAACATTCCAATGTTAACGTAAAGGCAACATTTCTGAATCTCTCCAAGTTATGTGAAATAATCCAGGAATATGTCAATTCATACGTTTAATATTCATTACAAAAATTATATGCCTGAAATGTCTCACGTGAATCTCTAGACGGGTTATCTGAAACATCGCCATGTTTACGTATGTGAAATATTTCTGTATTGTTATGCGTAATGTGGAACATCTTTAAAATGTTTCGATACTCTAACACGAGTCAACCAGAATGGGTGGCATTGAAATAAGTGCAAATATGATATGTCCATTTTCATAAAATTTTTGATCAAAAATCACCATGAAATTGAGTCTATTTGTCATGTATGTATTTGTATGAAATCACAAGATTATCAAAAATTCAATTATAACACCAATAACAATCAAATTCGAACGTATAGAAGGAGAATATCATCAGGGATGGTAGCCTGGTTCAGGCAGGCATCGCAGGTTTAAGTTTGAGCCGAGAAACTGAAAATGATTGATTTTCATACATTAAAAACCATTAGATACAGTAGAATTTCTTTTTTTTATCACCTTACTACATCAATCGATTCACAGCACTGTTGTGTATGTGTATATACAGAGTGGGCCATTGAAAACGAAACAGCGGCTCTGTAGGTCGGCAAAACCGGATTATGAAAAAAATCTGAAACACGTCAACTACATTTTCGAGGGGGACATCGTTCTAAAATATTTTCAGCCCTGCGGCGTTGCCGCTTCTAACGAAAAGAAGCAACAACTTTGTTATTTCAAATGGAACACCTTGTATTTCATTGCATTTTTAGATTCTCCCCGAAGAGCTGATTTTATCAATGCATCACACTTGGGGTCTAGCTGGAATGATTTCAGGGATATAGGGTGTTAAAAAATCGAGATTCTTCAACTTTAGGATTTTTTTGTGTCGAAACTATCCATTATTGGTCAAAACGGCTTTCATGTCCCTATCTCAACTTTTGATTTACTATCTACTGACATTTATTCACGACTAATATATTATACTTGTGGTTTTTGAAGTATAATGCCATATATTAATCCCGCAGGGAATAAAGACTATTAATCCCTCGCCATTATTCCCTGCGGGATTAATATATGGCATTATACTTCAAAAACCACAAGTATATATATTAGTCGCAAATAAAGTAGAGTATACTACTCGCAATAATGGCTATTATTCTCTCGGAATGTTACTCCCTCGCCGCTAACGCGGCTCGGTTCGTAAAAAATCCTCGAGAATAATAGCTTTCATTATTGACTCGTGGTATAATCTACTATTATTTGAAACAAATACAGGGTGGTTCAAGATTCAGACTTCTGATCACCGCCTGTATCTGTTACAATGAAATGTCAGTAGATAGTAAATCAAAAGTTGATATAGGGACATAAAAGCCGGTTTGACCAATAATGAATAGTTTCGACAAAAAAAAATCTTAAAGTTGAAAAATCTCGATTTTGACACCCTATATCCCTGAAATCATTCCAGCTAGACCCCAAGTGTGATGCATTGATGAAATCAGCTCTTCCGGGAGAATCTTAAAATGCAATGAAATGCAAGGTGTTCCATTTGAAATAACGAAGTTGTTGCTTCTTTTCGTTAGAAGCGGCAACGCCGCAGGGCTGAGAACATTTTAGAACGATGTCCCCCTCGAAAATGTAGTTGACATGTTTCAGATTTTTTTCATAATCTGGTTTTGCCGACCTACAGAGCCGCTGTTTCGTTTTCAATGGCCCACTCTTTATACCAAAATCATATATAGGACTGACTATATTTCGGTAAACTGCAATGTCAATTTGGGGGTCACCAATGACAAAACAAACATTCAACTATGCATGGAATATGAGAGGAGTTAATAGTTCTATAATATTTCAAAGTTGAATGTTGTTATTATGTCGTTACTGAGTTCATCTGAATATAGTCCTATGATTCTAGTTTGTTCCATAAGAGTTGATTCTGAAACTTTTCTGCTAGAATATCTCCAGGAGACATTTCTTCAATAACGCTTCAGACAATGCGCGATTGAGATGATAGTTTGAGACGTTCAGTGCAGGCAAGTCTGGGAAAGTAGCGATGCAGAGGTATTTGCATTGGGCCGATGATTTTCCTATGCTAATTAACCATTTGCTATAGTCGGCGGTCTTAGGACAGCTGGCTGGAGACTACACTGCACTGATGAGAGTCAAAGAGCTCGAAACCGGTCTGTGGTTGTCTAGCGGCCTGGCTTAATCTAAATCAATAGGCATTCAGGAAAGATTCACTTGTATCAGTATTCGTTTAAACGAGTCAATGCATAGATTTCAGGAGGATGTAATTCAATATCCTGCGTGGCATTAGCCAGGGAAGTAGTTGTTTTTCTCCCGAAATCTACCATTGTTGTTCATTTTATGAACACTGTGTGGAAATGACTTTGAGCTTTTTACATTTATTTATCATTTCATTCCACGACTGTGAGCATTGTGGCTATTTCGTAGTTGTTATTACTCCAGTCGGGCTGCCAGCCACTCCCGTATGGGAATTTCAGTTTTGGAGTGATTCTTTCCTCGGTTCTACTCAGATGGCGTTACTTTCATTTTATCGATAAAAGACGCCTCGGGGTGGATATAATGCCAACTTGATTTTTGTTTGGCTAGGCTTCGCTGGGTCGGCGGTCTTAGGACAGCTGGCTGGAAACTACACTGCACTGATGAGAGTCCAAGAGCTCGAAACCGGTCTGTGGTTGTCTAGCGGCCTGGCTTAATCGGAATCAATAGGCATTCAGGAAAGAATCACTTGTATCAGTATTCGTTTAAACTAGTCGATGCATAGATTTCAGGAGGATGTAATTCAATATCCTGCGTGGCATTAGCCAGGGAAGTAGTTGTTTTTCTCCCGAAATCTACCATTGTTGTTCATTTTATGAACAATATGTGGAAATGACTTTGAGCTTTTTACATTTATTTATCATTTCATTCCACTGTGAGTATTGTGGCAATTCCGTAGTTGTCATGCAACAGTATTTCCTTTCCCATACTTCTATGGAGGAAGAAATCTGAAATAGAGAAGATAACAACCGAAAGAGAAAGTTGAGATGGTATTCACTGCTGAAAACTGAACATGAAAATGGTAGATACAAGATCAATTGATAAAAACATCTTGTAACTCATTTGTATACTATAACACGAGCTATAACATCATCAGATGACGTTGCGATGACATAAAAAACTACGGGAATTTCAAAAGGATAACTTTGGTATTTCCTTAGATATTGAAAGAAAAGCTTTTCACCGTCCTATTTTAATACATTTATTCATAATATCTATGATTTCACTTTTTCTTCCCGACATTCTACTATATTTAGATCGATAAGTGGATGCTTCTAATTCTTCTGAGTGAAGCTAAGGAGATCGATTCCAGTTACAACACCTATTGGTTTGTTGACTTTGGCAGCTCCAACACCTGAAATTTACAAAAAAATATGAATCCAATCAGAAGAATATGTATTATCAATTGTTGATTTAGTTACCATTTGATTCGATAACTAGGACGTATGGATCTTTTTCCAATATTCTAGAAATGAGCCCCAGATTTGCTGATGTAACAGCTTTGGGGTATACCCTGTCGATACAGTTGCCGGCACCATCACTTGGTTTGACTTCTCCGGAAATGAGTTTGTTTGTGAGGTTCTGGATCGTGACGACACCAGTGGTATGCCTGTGAAATATAATTCGTATAATAGAGGTATAATATTAGCCAGGTAGCACAGTGACGTCCAGACGACGTCCTAATTTGGTTACAAAAAATGACGTCGTGAAATCCTCGAAAAGATGTCAAAATGTCACAGCCATAAGATGCCAAAATGACGTCTCTGGGCGACCTAGGGAGGACTTTATTAAAGAAAAGTTAAGGGCATATACAGTATTATATATAGAAACATAAAATTATACACTGTTAAACTTTGATGAGATTCATTGATGAATTATGGTCAAATTTCGTAGAATAGACGATGAAAAGGTGAGAGGACGAGAAAACGAAGTCATTATGACGTCTTCCTAGGTCACTGTGCTTTTGTGTACTTGATAGGTATGCTCCATACCTATATTTCAAACCTGTCCAGATATCCAGTGAAATCACTATACCGAGTGAGTCAATAGTGTGTTCTTCTTCAATATTCGACAAACCATCAGATATGTAGAAAAAATTCAAATACATTCGCTATAGGGTTTCATGGTAACTATCACCTAAAATTGTTTATACCAAATTGCTCATTAATTGTTGAAACAATTTTTCTTCTATCACTTCCAGTTTCACCGGAAACGACCCCAACTCTTGATTTTCAAATGAGACACCCTGTATTGTATTCCATAATCGGTTAGGGATTATCATGACGAATTCAAAATACCGGGTTTGATAGGGTTACTTCAAACGATTACAAAGATATTTGCGTTCGAAGTTTCCATATGCTCAATGGGTGGGACTTCGCAATATCAAAACTTCTTTCTCTGTCACACTCATTGAGCATATGGAAACTTAGAACGCGAAAATCTGCGTAATCGTTTGAAATAACCCTATCAAACTCGGTATCGATGAATTCGTTATGACAATCCCTAACCGATTATAGATTACATTTGAAAATCAAAAGTTGGGGTCGTTTCTAGTAAAACCGGAAGTGATAGAACAAAAATTGTTTCGTCAATTAATGAGCAATTTGTTATACTAGCTGCCACCAATTTTCAAAACCCTATCTCGAATAATTCAAAAGTTACATTCCTGGCCGTTTTTTTTGCACTTCTCTGTATGTGCGAGCCATTTCGACCAAACGAATAGTTTCGATACAAATAATCATAAATTTGGAAAAGCTCGAATATACAGGGTGTCCCTCTTGAAAAACCTCATCATCAGCCTATTTCTTGGACTCCGAACACCCTATAGATATGAAAATAATTTCATGTGATAGTCCTTATGAATCCCAATACCTGTTGTATTCGAATTCTCCCTATATATCTAGCGGTATGGCTAATATCGAAGGAGAACACACTATTGACTCACCCTGTAGATTAGATTTCCAAATTGATTTTTATGCGTGAATCAATGAATATGGGAGAAAGATTATTTTGTTTTACTTTTGTACACTCGAGAGATTGGTTTGTAGAAAATATAAGAAGAAAATAAGTTGACCTTGTTGGGACGTCTTTATGACCTCCAGTAATATTCGTCAATTTGATGTCATGAAACATGACGTCAATTTTAGGTCTCTCTGAAGTCGGGGACGTCATTTTACTAACCTGTGCTACCTGATGAGTATATGTAAGTGGATTGTCAAATATCTCATTGATGATTCGCAACAATATAAAAAATTAACCATAAATAGATCCATACAAATTTATCGTATTAATAGATAGAACTCACCCTCTATCATCTACTACAGGCACTTGTACAACACCAGATTTGCGCATCAAGCTCAAAACTTGTTCACAAGGAGTATTTGGTGATGCAGTTTGGAGTTGAGGCAGCTGCAGTTTCAAAACATTGGTGTCCCACCACCTAAAGAGAACAATTTTGCATTATCAGATGATCCTTCGCTGGTATTCATTGTAATTTTCTTACTTATGGTTTCCAGTGTTGACTGCTTCTTGTAAACCTCTCTGTTCCATCCATTGATCACAAACGAATTTGGTGAGGTAGTTTCTAATACTGTCTGGTAGGATGACGACTACTCTGTGGCCTTTTCCCAAGTTCATTTTTTGTGCTGCTCTCAGGGCTCCCACTAATATGGCACCACAACTAGCCCCTGGAAAATAGCAACGGGACCGACATTAGAATATTGTTAGAATATTATTTTCGATATCGAATCAGAGTGTATCCAATTCGAACGGGTCTCTACTGAGACTATAATTAGGTTTTCAATAATACAGGGCCATTCAACGAAATCTTGACCCCTCTTAGAACTAGATATCAGAATCCTCTCTACCAGAAATCACCAGAACCCGCGCCGATTTTTATACTTCAAAGGGATAGTATTTCTTACAGTTGAACTAACTTGATGTGTTCGTCCCCCTAATCATTAGCAACCCCAACTCTTGAATTTCAAATGGATCTATAATCTATTTTCAATACATCATTGTAAAGCCCTTTCCATTGCGAATACTCTGGTGCATCGTTTTTGGAGATCCGTCAAAATTTGACAGAGTTATTGATTAAAATACTTGATAATGATTGACGAACTGGAATTACACTTTTATTCAATGTTTAGTTCAGAAATGGCCTACATTAACTTGCAAACAATGATACAAACTTTTTTCAAATTCTTCTAGAACATTACTGAAGAAATCTGATTTTATTAATCGGCATTCTGTTATAATTCTCTTACGTAACACATCTAGTGATCCAGGTTGCGTGGCGTATAATCGCGATTTGAAATGACTCCATAAAAAAGTCCAAATGGATTAGATCAGGTGATCTTGGTGGCCATTCGATTAGACATCTCCTACCAATCCAATAGATCATCGATTTGTTTGCATAGAAAAAGTCATAGGACAATAGCCTTCAAAATACTAATAATACAGGGTGGAGACTTTTTGAGAAAGTGTTACGTTGAAAATAAATTGAATTTTAAAATTACAGTACGCTGGATTCCTATTTTCATCAGACTTCCAATGAGTCGTCACAAGCGGTAGGGTTTCATTTGAAAACAAAAAGTTTCGGATATTTTCAGCTACCCCTGAAAGGATATATTCTCGATATCGCTTGCAAAATGTAGCGAATTTATTCCAGTTAAAGTCTCCATACTGTATCAAATTGTGTATTTGATGAAAAGCTTTTATTTAGTGCGCAATTTTGTTTGATGTGTTGAAAGTAGGGTAGTTACATTTGAAATTTCTAAATTGGGGTTCCTAGGGGTTATGTTAAATGCTCCCCGCCAAGTATAAAAATAGAGGGGGTCAAGTGTTCGTTGGAAGACACTGTATAATGCGAGTATAATGCAAGTGAACATTTATCTACTATTATGATGATCCACTTTTACATCTTCTGGATCGCACGAAATGGAATCCGTAATGTTCATGAACATCGTGCGTACTTGAGATATGTATCCAAGCAGATAAAGTATAGGTATTGGAATTCTCACTCAATTTTTAAGCTCTTGGACGTCCATGGACAAATAAGAAGATCCAATGATTTGCAATTTTAAGGAAACATGCATGGTAGTGAGTCGTTCGACACATTCAAGATTATTGAGTGTGTCGAGGTCTCCTAGGTTAGCTGACTGGTATTAATTGTTGGTGATGATGGAAAATAGCCAAGAATATACCGGATGGCCACGAAAACCGGGCCGCCCCTGGTGTAACTTCTGAATCACTTGGTTTCAGCAGAAATGACCTCAACTTTCGATTTTCGGATGGAACATCCTGGATATTTTTACATTTTTGGATATAGGAGATTATTTTACATACAGTTGTATTATTTTTACAGATCTGAAGTGAAATATCGTTCAACGGAAGTTTTTCTAACCATCATCTCTGCAATGATAATGCAAGACTGACGGATCAAAAATTGTTGCTATTATGGATAGAATCGTCCTCTTGGTTATATTAGGAGGGTTAATGTTTTGTAGTAGTAGGAAAAGTAAGAATGTCAGAATCGCATTTTCATGGAAGACCTAAAATCTTGCTGTCGCAGTCTTTGGTCATGGTGACTTCATGTGAATTAAATGATGTGCACTGCGCATAATTTTCAAAAATATTTACATTGTTTGATTTTCATTCCCTAATTTCTTATTGCTTGTTAGTAAATCGTCAACATACATATCATTCCGAATTACTTTTGCGATCAAAGAGGATGCTCGGATTCATATTCGTTGGCTACTTCGTGACAAACAACATATCTCCAAAAATAATGCTGATGTAGTACCGTATATTACAGTATAAAATTGATATGTTTTGATCGAATTGTTTTGGTTTCTTCGCCATACGATTTTTTGCAAATTACCTTGCTCTGGATTCATCAAAACTTGTCGGTATATATCCGATTAACAATCGTTTATTGACAAATGTGGTATCATTTGATTAGTTGAAGAATATTCTTCAGAAAAAATTACCTGGAACATCATCATTCCATTTGAAAAAGCAAAGTAATCAAAAAAAAATCATTTATGATCACTCGGAGAGGCAATTATTGAGATATAATTGTTGAATATTATGATTTGAATTTTCCCTTAACAAGGAACTGAAACAAAAACAACGTATAACAGTAACAGCCCCCTAGACACGATTCCAAAAATCAAATAAAAAATTGACTTTAAGAAAATTTTCCCCCGAAAGTTATACAACTGTATGTACAGTAAATGCAAAATATGCTGTTATAGGAACCCTCCAAATTTCAAAATTTCATCTCGAACGATTCAAAAGTTCCAGGGGTAGCCTCTGGTTCTCAGGCGCATCCGGTATTGTCCATGAAAGTTTCTATCTATTTAAGCAACAAAAAAAACCTATTTGATGATAATCATTGTTATCATCTTCATTCGATAGTGATAATAAATGTTCTTTGGAATAGGAAGAACCACGATGTTACAACCGGAAAACATTTCCAATTGCCTTCCTTATCCTCCTATGAAGATAAAAGCATTCCTAAGCCCTAAGAATTATAAAACAAAATCAATATATTATTATAATCTTCTTAATGGTCACGATTCTATTTTTCAATACTATGACACATATATTTGTTCACATGTGCAAATTGATAATGATGAGTAGGCACTAATCAAACATACATTAGACTTATCTAATAAAGCAAACATCAGCATCTATTCTAGGCTTATCAATGTAACGAACACCAAAATTGTCATTCCGAGGACGATAGCACTTAGTAGAAGGTCGCTTTAGATTAGGACACTAAACATTTAGGTACTTATAGATATATGAACGAAATATCTTCATCAAAGTTTTCTTTATCAAGTGTTTACGAGGCATAGATAGAATTTTATTTTTCTCTTGTCCATAACTGATTTATAATAACATATTTTATGTGGCGTTATGGAGAGCATTATGAATCATAAAGCCCGCTAATTTTTTTTTTAATTGACTCGGCCGTTACTTGATGGAAATCCATGGCAAATGTAAAAACTTCACAAACGATAAGATTTCCACAAAATTCTCAAACACATGATATGTTTCGCTAACACAGTAGCTTCGTCAGGTGATATACTGTTACGATGACTAAACTAACATTGGCTTGCATATCTGTATATATCCTGCTTTCCCAACCTGAAGGATTAGTTACCTGTGGGCAGGTTCGATAAACCTCCATTTTCGGAAATTATATCGGAATATCTACATTAAAATACGGTGTACTGGATTAACTTGAAAGGGTTGATATCAAATACATATTATTAATTACTAAAGAAAACAAATTCAACAGTGGTGAACTATTGAGGTCTAATTGATCGTTAAGTAAAAATTGTCAAAATTTTGAATTTGTTGATTTCTAACGATTTGAAATGATTGAGTTTCATTCCTTTTGTTCCTGCGGAAAGTTTATATTCTTTGGAATAAAGTTTATTCATATATGAATTTATCATTCTGTATAATTTTGTTGTGATTGAAGGGTGTGGTTGAATGTCAGTAAAAAACTAAAACATCTGTCTTGTCTGTGCTGATATTTTTCAAGTGAAAAACGGTTTCAAACCAGTGCCAAACTCCGAAACCTAGTGCAAACGCACACACCTTTATTTTCTACGTGTAGAATTTCGAAATTATCATCAAAACTATGGTTTTCATCTAATTTATGGTTGGCGTATGTTGAATTTGTTTTCTGTTTCAGAAAATTCATCTTATGTTCATGAAAATAATAAATCTAGTACCAAAATACTAAAAATGCTAACACTGCATATGAGATCGCCAGTGATGCCAACCCGTAGGGATATTCCCTAGATGTAGGGATACTTTGCTAAATTTAAGGTGCATGTGTAGGGATGTAGGGACAAATTATTCGATAATCCAGAATTGTAGGGATTTTTCGACTGTTCTTGTTGCCTGACAGACTCAAGGACTATATCTAACGTGTTCGAATTTATAAAGCAGAGGCATACTGTCAGTTCTGAAAATGATCGATTATTATAATTTCATAATTATTTGTATAAGTGGCTTTGGTTTGACTTGTTAATGACGAGTGACACTAGTGACAGTTACATTTGGATAATAGTGGAATTGAGTTTGTAAAAATTTTCTCTGCTAAATCCAAAAAATCTCAACACGTTGGCTGCCGTGAGAAGGAAATATTCCAAACATGATTATATGTGTTAATATTTTCCGTATCTTCGCGAAAAACAATATGGCACAGCATTGGTACCTCGCGGCACAGAATATAGAATATGAATCGCTTGTGCCGCGAGGTACGAATACTATGTGCCTCAACATGTTTCGACAAATCCTAACCAGTCCAAGAGACTATTGTGCATTTGCAAAAGTTTCGCATCAGTTCTGTTCCATACGTAATTGAGTGAACAGTAAAAATGAGTTACGAACAAATTCAAAAACATCTCCAGAAACTATATGGGACACCATAATGTCGGACGAAGAGGAAGTTCCATCGCTGGTAATGAATCGACTTGGTCTTGCTCTACTTGCAAAAAATCATACTGTGTGAATTGCATCTTTCACTCTCATAAATGTTACTCAGCTTGATATCATGATTCATGAATATTGTACATAGTATTCGGAATGAAACTTCAGTTGTAGAACATGTTTTCATTTGAATTGGCTTCATTTTCATTTTTTTTCAGAAATAAATCTATTATTTCAGCAAATCACTTTATTTTATTATGAGCTACTCTTTTACTCAATATTATATCCATAATTCCCAATAACAAAGAGTCTGTAGGCTTGTGCAACGAATTTTAACCTATAATACATAATTATGACCAAAAAAATCCAATTAGAAAATAATTTTCGAGTGCTCACTAAATAAAAGGATATCAGAACATGTGGCACAACATATGTGCCTCGGTGCACAAACCGCACATTTAGGTGAGACACACACCCCGTACCTCATGGCAGTCAACTTTTTTATGTTCTGGTTCCCACGAAAGGGATATACCGTAATGTTCAGAGACAACGTGAGAACCAAGGGGAATGATGTAGGAATTGGTGTTCTTCTTGAATTTCTGGAGGTTAAATGCCTCGGGGAACACCTCCCTTGGCAATGTGTTCCAGAGCCTCGCTGTTCGTTGGGTGAACGAGTCTTTGGAAATAGATGTTCTGCAGGTCTCCAAAGTGACCACGAAGGGATGCGAAGCCTCAATTCGACGGGTTAATCCCGCGGAGACTGCCAAGGGAGGTACAATTGTTGAGATTTCAGAAGAGCATCGTCCATGAAAATATCTATGAAATAGAGCCAGATCGCCAACTTTTTTACGGTGTTTCAGAGAAGTGAATGAGTTTGTGAGCGAGGCATCACCCACGGTGCTAGAATTGATCCTTGCGGAACACCAGCATTGATGGTAAGAGAGTCAGATGGAACTCCGTCGACCACTACATGGAGAGTCCTGTTTGAGAGGAAACTAGCTAGCAGAGAACATAGCTGGGGAGGCAAGCCATAAGATGGAAGCGTGGCGATGAGTCCGTGATGGTGCCAGACTCGATCGAATGCTTTGGAGATATTTTTCAATAGATTGCTGTCATATATGTGAGACGTAAGCGAGCAGGTCGCCAGTTGATCTCTGATGACGGAAGCCATATTGTCTATCGTTGATAATACCTGAATGTTCCAGGTATTTCATGAGCTCGATGTTGATAGCTTTCTCCATGATCTTTGAAATAACAGATAGCAGTGCGATCGGTCTGTAGTTGCTAGGTAGGGTCTTTTTGCCTTTTTTAGGAACTGGTTATTGTACTCTTGCAATTTTCCAGTTGGACGAAAATATCCCCAATTTGTAAGAGTAGTTGAACAACTTGCAGAGAACAGGTGTTAGTTCGGGAGCACATTTCTTGAGAACAATCGGTGGGATTCCGTCGGAGCCACAAGCTTTGTTGGTGTTAAGACCCAATAAAATCTTCGTTATAGTACGTTAACGAAAGTTGATCAAGGGCATATGACTGTCAATTGGCGTTATGTTTGGAGGTTGTTTTTCCTTGGTTAGGGGACGAAACGTGTTAAGGTTCATTTGATTTCAAATGACTTGTAGGGATTTTTTCCCAATGTAGAGAATTTTTGTAGGTATGGGTGGGGAAAATGTATTTGATAGGTTGGCATCACTATGAGATGCTCGATACACTCTAATAGGAGCTTATCAAGTATAGGTATAGTACCGCCCTCGTGCACTCACCGATCAACAGTCCTTCCTCCTTGATCAGCCGCCTGGCCATGGGCAGCGAGTCCTTATCCAGCACTTTCTCCCAGTGATCGATCACCTCTCTATCCAGACAGGTGGGCAGGAACTCGTAGCCCATGCCCTCGATCTCCCAGAAGGTGACGTCGGTCTTGTTGATGCTGTCCGGATAGCCGTACACCGAGCCGTACGGGTCGGAGCACACGATCTTCGTCTGAGGCGAGATCTCTTTGAATTTCCTGCCTAGGCCAGTGATCGATCCACCTGTGCCGGCGCCCATCACCTAAACACCGAGTATGAGATCAGAGTGCTGTCATTAGAAGATTTTTCGGAGGAGTCAAAAAAAGCGGAGGAAAGGAGATTTTTCAGGCATCACTATAATTTTATAACTCAACTGCGGATGAAGCTTATTGTGCCCAAAACATCTACTATCTAATCATGATCGAACCAATCGAACCCCGACCTAGGGGATTCCGTGTCGGAGTCTATGTTATTGTTCTGTGCTCCTGTGGTTAGCATTTTAGAAGTGCCTAAATCTTTCGAACCATTCCCATCACGTGATATGTTGAGATTCGTATTTTTCGATTATTATTTTCCGCAATAAAATTGTACGAGGCTTTGGTTACGGATTTTCATTCCGGTCTACTAATAGCCTAACGTCAGCTCACTGTGATCATGTGTGTAGTGATTTAGGCTTTCAAGGATGATTTCACTTCCTCTCGAGACCCGCAGGGTGGGAAATTTTGTCGACAAAAGAGGACGGAAGTGGAACAACTTGAATTGCGTCCTTGATTTGCGAAGGATTTCACGAGCTATAGAGAAGGAACGACTTGAATTGCGCTGGTAGCAATGGGTGAGATGATTATTGGCACGACAGTAGTACAACTGGCTCAATCCTAACCCACTTGCAGGGAGAGATAAGTCAAACTTCATATTCATATACAGGGTTTCTATAAATGATCGTAACATCGAAGTAGCCGTTGAAATATTTTCTCCATTTGCCGCCTTCCATTTATGGAGATTCACACATTCGAATTTAATTTCTGTTTTAAGCTTGTTATAATGGTTATGCCCTGAACTTGGGAACTGTCCCAGAAGATACTCGAATAGTAGCTTTTTCAACTATAATTGAGACTAGGTGAAGTAATGCTTTATTTAACTCAATAGCTGTCTGACACTCTGACGTGAGATGTACTGAGTGCTTCTAACATCATAATATTAATCATATAACATCCCCTATACTTTTAAGGAAAAAAAGATAAATCAATACATTTCATAATCTTTCAATTTCTTTGGTATTCTTCTTTCTCGCTTAGGTCGTCCCTCTTCAACTTTTGTTTGTGCCGTTTGTGTTTCTACTCTTAGTCCTTTTTCTTTGACTGGTTTTATATGTACTAAGCTTCTCCTTAGATCTTGGTTGTCTGTGTTGATGGTAAAAGATCTTGAATTTATTTGCTGTCTTATTATTCCTGGACTCCATACTTTGTCTTCTTTCTTTTTCTTGAACATTACTTCATCACCAATTTTCAGATCAGGTGTTTTCTTTGTGGTCCTATCATAATATTTTTTACTTTTCTCCTTTTGTTTCTCAATCTCTTTGGGTACCGATGGAACAATCTTAGGTATCAGCTTACTATCCTTGATCGGAATGGTGCATCTTAAATTTCGTGCAAAAAGTCTTTGCGCAGGACTAGAACCAATTTTATTAGGCGTATTTCTTTCAAGCATCAGCATTTCGTAGAAATCGCTATTACTCTCTATGCTTTTCAAGATTAGATTTTTCGCTACTTTCACTGCTGATTCAGCCTTACCATTTCCTTGTGAATGATTTGGACTTGATGTCACATGTTTGAAATTCCAAGATTTTTGAAACTCTTTGAATTCAGAGTTGACGAAATTTGTCGCATTATCGCTGATTATCCTTTTAGGTATTCCATACCTGCTAAACACCTTTTTACAAACCTTAATCGTTTCTTTTGCCGACAAATCTCTCAGCTCCTCCACTTCAAAAAAATCTGAATAATGGTCCACCAATATCAGGAACTTCTTCTGTTTCCCTTTCATAGTCACTTCAAATACATCTAGGCTGACAATTTCGAAAGGTTTCTGAGGAGTTGGATGTGATTTCATGGGAGGATTTTGTTGATTCCTCGAATATTTGAGACATATTTCACAGTTTTGGATTTTTTCCTTGATTTGTGTAGTAATTGATGGCCAAAAAACTCGTTCTTTTGCTAAGTTAATCGTATATTCCATACCTAAATGGCTATAATGTAATTTATCCAAAATATTTCTTCTCATTCTTGGTGGAATAACAATTCGATCACTTCTGAATATGACACCATGCTGAGTATGTAACTCTTCTTTGAATCTCCAGAAGGGTCTTACCAAAAGTGGAACGTCCGCTACCTTTGCTGGCCATCCATCCTGAATAATTTTGAATAAGTTGCTCATGCTCTCATCCTTCTTCGTTTCTTCACGAATTTCCTCAAAAGTTTCATCCGAAATCTTGTTTCCCTCTAATGAATTTATATTTTCTATTTCTGAGAATATTTCATTGATTTCGTAAACTTCGTAATTTTCTTCAATGTTGTTTTCTGGTAGTCTTGATAATAAGTCCGCAATATACATTTCAGTTCCCTTGATGTATTTGATTCTCAAATTATATTTCTGCAACTGTAGAATCATGCTCTGTAATCTTTTCGGCGCTTCTGTTATTGGTTTTCTCAAAATATTTATAATGGGTTTATGATCCGTCTGGACCAAAATATCATTTTTTCCAGAAATATACTGATGGAATTTCTTGCAGGCATATACAATTGCAAGCATTTCCTTTTCTAGTTGGCAATATTTTGTCTGAGAAGTTGTAAGCATTTTTGATGCATATGCCACAGGTACATCTTCTTGCATCAAAGTGCACCCTATAGCAAAAGATGATGAGTCTGTTTGTATGACAACAGGTTTCCTTACATCGAAGTATCTCAAAATTGCCTCTTTCTGGATCAATTCTTTTATAAGATTGAATGATTTTACTTGTTTTCGTTCCCAAACAAAATTTTCATTAACATGTGTGAGTTTCCTCAGGGGTTCTGCCACGTGAGCAAGGTTCGGTATAAATTTACTCAAATACGTCACCATTCCCATGAATCTCATAACATCTACTTTGGTTTTTGGAGTAGCCATATTCTTTATTGCGTTCACCTTTCTCACATCGGGTTTGACACCTTCGCTCGTGAGATTGTGACCAGAAAATGTTACTTCTTTCTGGCATAACTTTACTTTGTCTCTGTTCAGTTTGACATTTTTCTCTCTCATGCGATCTAACAAGTTTTTCAGGTTTTTATTATGGTCAATCAGAGCTTCCTTCTCTGTCTCACCACTGCCATAAACCATCAAATCGTCTGCTATGGAAATAACTCCTTTCAATCCGTGAACGATCTGGTGAAGTTTCATCTGGAAAATTTCCATCGCTGGAGCCAATCCGAACGGAAGTCTTAACCATCGATATCTGCCCTGTGGCGTCCAAAATGTAGTGAGCTTACTCGATGGTTCGTCCAGTTGCACATGCCAAAATCCATTTTTAGCGTCTAGCGTTGAGAAAACTTTGGCGTTTGCTAATTCTGGCATCATTTCTTCTAATGTAGGAATTTGATACTTATTACTTTTCAAGGCTTGGTTGACTTTCAAAGGATCTATACATAGACGCAATTTTTTGTTGTTCTTCCTGACCAAAACAATATTGCTTGTCCAATTAGCATGGCCTTCTTCCTTCGTTATGATTCCGTCGTCTTCCAAGTCTTTAAGTATTGTTTTCAACTCCTCTCTCATTGCAACTGGTACTCGTCTTGGTTGTTGTATTGTAGGTTTTATTTTGTCATCAACTTCTAGAGATATTTCGCCTTCGAATTTTCCTAGCCCTTCAAAAACATCTCTGTATTCATTCATCAGTTTCTCTGCTTCATAATTCTTCACTTCTTTCTTCACTACCTGATTGCATCATAATATTAATCATATAACAATTTCTGGCATCAATCATTATACTGTCATAGCTGATAAACTCACAATTGTCAGTTTTTCGTCAAAATTTTCAAACGATTCTGTTTTCTACTTCGTGATTGTCGTGTAGAAAAGAGGGATGGCTTATTCCTCGGAGCAGAATACATTTATTGTAATGTCTTATCGTCGAAATGGCACATTCATCAATGGTAGATGGAGTTACTCGGTAGTAGCCTGCAAGGATGAGTACCTGGAGAAATATCCCAATGTACAGATTCAAGAATCTTCTTTGAAAGCCCACATCAGAACACTGATCAACAGATTCATCCAAACTGGAAACGTTAATAAAAAGAAATCAACAGGAAGGCCCCAAATATCGGAAGAAGTTGTTGTAATGAACGCGAAGACTCGACCAAAAATATCATAACGAATACTAATGCTAGACACTTCACACTTATAGGAAGTAGAAGGTCGTTTTAATTAGGTCAATAAATATTTTGGTATCTGAACTCGAATGCATTCAATAAGTATTAGAAGGATAGATTGATAGAGCAATATTATTACGTGAATTAACTCTTGTTGGAAATATGAATATTTGTTTCAAATCCCAAGAAATGCATATATGTAATAGGTTTATTATTAGGTACTTTACCTTTGTAACATTGTTGATAGTTGCACTTAAAGAACAGGAACAGCAAAAAGATGTGAATAAAAGTTAGAAAAGAGTGTACAGGGAATTTATAACCTAAGTAACTGAGCCACAGCAGAGGGGCGGGCCAAAGATAGGTAGAGGCCAGATGAATTATTACAAAAATCAATTAGTTTGAAATCTTTTCAGATGAACATTGAAATCCTTTTTCTGTACTTAATTTTAAGTAATACCCAAGGTCAACTGACATCGATTTTTGCAAAATGATTAATGATAAAATTCCATTAAATTAAAAACTATTTCTGAAAACATCCGAAGCCACTCTTTTTGCACTTTAATTCGAGGTCAATTCAACTAAGCGAAAATCTAATGAATTCTGATTAAATTTATGACCAAATCTCAGTATAAAAGCAGGGAGTTTTGGCATAAAAGTCAGTCTTGATCAAACTCTTGATACGAAGTCTCATGTCTTGAACCAGTAACTCTGCTAAACAGTCTAGTTATACGTGATATGTAGTTGATATTAGAAATTGCTTAAAAGTCTGTACCTAGTGAACATATTGTGTTGCTGCAATAGATGTGTATCGAGAATTATTGAACTTTTATAAAACTGTATTAACTTTTCAAAGTGACCCGGT